CCAGCAGCCCCTCTGCTACCCTCTCAGGGGCAGCCCCAGGGGAGCAGGACCCCCAGCCCCCAGCCTCCTCAGTGCTGTCCCCCCAGCTGAGCCCAGGGCACAGAAGAAGCTTCCTGACGAGCAGGCAGTGGAGAGGAGCTGCGCAGGCACACCCCTCTCTGTCAGACAAATGCTCTCAGCTGCAGCTGCAGGTAAGCTCAGCAGCCCCAAAATGCCTTCGGGTGCCGCTTCTGCCCTTAGTCTGGACCCTTCTTGTCTTAAGATGATGTCCCATCCTGACCAGGTGTGTCCAAAGGGAGGGCACGCAGCTGTCCTCGTCCCCTGTTAAAAGCGAGGGGAACTTTCCCAGAAGCTCGTCAGCACATGCCCTTCTGGGCTGTTTGACCAGAATCGGGTCATCTGCTTCTTCCTAAGCCAGTCACTGGGCAGGGGAGGCCACGGCCATGCCTGGTGGACAGAACAGACCCCACTGACCAAGGCCTGGGAGGAATCCACGTCTTCTGAACACGCAAGCATCACACACAAAACAAAATCAGCTGCCATTAGCCAGGAGAAAGCAAGGGCCTGCTGTGGGGCCAGCTAGAGCTTCCCAGCCCGCTCAGAGAAGATGAGATCCTGAAGGGTACAGAGCCCCGGGCTGCTGCTGCCCAGCCCAGCAGCTCCATCTGCTCAATGTGTGTGTGGCAGAGACACCTGACCAGCACGTGACACAGAGGTGCACAGAGGTTAAGACATGTCAATGCTTGGGAAGGTTGGAGTTGATGAATAGTCTGCTAATAGGCAAACGCAGCCTGCTAATAAACAGTCAGCTAACCAAAGAAGCGAATACAAGGGTTCTAGAAAAAGTTAGTGGAAAACGGAAATAAAAGATAATACGAATCTTTTAGGAATGTATACATTTTTAAACTTGATCTTGAAGATCACATGAACACTGAGGTTCTTAAATTCATTTGGGGCATAAAAATACCAAAGAAAAGGGTAGTCTATGGAATGCCATGAGTCTTGATGAAATTAATTAAATTAAAATACTTTTAATAGCAAAAAATATCTATGAGGGTGTATCATCTCAATGAAGAAAAAAGCACGACTGTGCTTGAGTTTTCCATTATCACTGGAGTTTGTTTGGCCTTTCTTTTTCATTTGCTTGGTTGTTTTGTTGTCTATCCCATATGATAAAGGGGTAAAAGATTTCAGAAAAACCCCTGGGAGGAAAACTAAAACTTTATAGTATTCAATCCATTATGTCAATTAGGAAATTAAGAACTAGTGAAAGCCCGCCATTGTCCAGTTTTAGGGCTGGGCTCCTTGGGACATTCACATGCTTTGATTTGTCACACCAATCCAGCCAAAACCTCTC